CCTCTGATTGCACTGAAATCAAATCAGATCTGATACTTTCATGGTGGTGGTAGTAGCTGTACAAGCCCTGCTCACGTGACCAGTTTGGCCACACTTGAAGCAGCCTGAATTCCCTGCCTTGCATGTCCCCTTGTGCAACTTGCCGCATTTTCCACAACGGTTGCGGCCATGCTGGCTTCTAGATCGGTGGTCTGATACCTTGGGCTTCTTTCCCTCACTCCCTGACTAAACCCCATCGGTTTTCCTCTTCATCTCCATCTCCAAATCCAACTCTCTCTCTCTCTCTCTCTCTCTCTCTCTCTATATATATATATATATATATATATATATATATATATATATATATATAGACCTAGCAATCATATCCTCCAGCATCTTGCAGCTGGATCGGCTCACAAACTGGTAGATGTCACTTTGCAACATCTCATGATATCAGGCCTTTTTAATTTCCTCGTGTGCCACGTACAACGGAACGAGAAGGGCCCTCTCCCTGAATATGGCGGTGATCTCAGTCACCGTCTCAGTCTTTTACTGGAGATCCTGGAACTCCCCAACAAGTGCAAACTCGACCGTGAACCTAGTTGAAAAAATACTCCAGGTCATCGCATCTAGAACTGCATCATCTCCAATGGCTCGTCCGACCTCCTCCCACCGGTCATGTGCCCTGTCCTTCAGAAGATGGGAAGCAAGTCAGACCTTGTCCCCCGCGGAACATCGGCTCATACGGAAAGCGTTGGTGACATCAGCTAACCATCTGCTACTAGCAATGGGGTCCCGAACCCCATGATAGTGTTGAGCTCCGCAAGCTCGGATCTCCTTGAATGTAAGCGTGTGCAACCCTTTACTAGCATTGAGTAAACACAATTAAGCATATTCTACTCAGTTCATCATATCACTGACTAATATGTACTAGCATGTTGTTCATAAAGCTAATACACATATAACAGACACATAAAGCATCCTTCCTAGATCCTTAGTCCCAGTCAAGCATGCAGTTCTCATAAACATATCCTAACATAAACTTGTATGGGTAATTTGGGAGTACTTACTTGAGCTCGACTGATTACATGCACCACACCCTTTTCTCTTTCCGAAATCCTTTTCAAAATCCTTTTTAAAATGGTTTTCTTTGAAAAAAATTCATACCAATTCCTTAGTTTGAGTTCAGACACACCCGAGAGTATGCCTAAATCCCTTAAACCAAGACTCTGATACCAACTTGAAAAATCCCAAAAATACGGTCCAAAAATTTAATTTTAAATCATTAACAAAAACCATAAGTATCATTCATCATATAAAAATCATAAATCATGTATCACAAAAATATCATAACATCTGTCAATATATAAAAATCATATGTCAAAACATCAGAGTGAATTGTCCCAAGCTAAAGTTGTGGTGTATGCAATGCAGTCATCCCGAGCTCTTCCCTTTACTATCGGAAGTACCTGAAACCAAAACTGAAAGTTGCAAGTACGAAGCTTAGTGAGTCTCCCTAAACTACCACATACCATACACATAATCACATAATAACATATATTGGGCCTTTCCCTTTACAATGGGCCCCACCCGACATAGGACGAATCTGGCATCGGGCCCCGTCCGGTATTGGACCGAAGTCTGGTATACATATAACATATCAACATGAATATCACATAAACACATAACATATAAGCTAAACATTCCTCAGGCTTGCCACAACATCATACTGAAGCCCGAAACATATAAAAAAACAAATGCAAGACTCACGAAGACATCAAGCATACAAACATTTCTCGAGCTTTCCCCGGCATTGGACTGAAGTCCGGAAACATATAACCTACATCGGGCTAACCCCGGCATCGGACCTAAGTCCGACATATGTTAACATACATAAATGGGCCAACATTGGTGCCTTTGACCCATTACTATTGGAGGAAAAATCACCTCGTAAGCTAATTGTGAAATCTTGTGTGAGGAATCTATGATGGCTGCTCCAACGACTCCCCAACTATCATTATCGCAATAACACTTAGTCAAAAACTGATAATCCTTCTTAGGGTAAAATGACCATTTTACCCCTAGTCAAAGTTAACGTTCTGTTCAAAGTCAACGTTCTGGGTTGATTCAACTCGTCGAGTTGCTCCATCAACTCGCCGAGTTCTATAAATCAAAACCCTAAAATCGCGATCCAACTCATCGAGTCACCCCCTGACTCGCTCCCTGACTCGCCGAGTCCCGTGCCTACTCATAGTCGCGATTAAGTGAGTCAACTTGTCGAGTCATCCTCAGACTCATCGAATTCTACCATATTCAGCATCGGGACAACTCGCCTCAACTCGTCGAGTTTCTCTATGAGCTCGACGAGTTCCTCTGTCTGGTTGGGCCATTTTAACGGATTAAGCCGTTGCGCTTCCGATCTAAGCTTCTCGTTTTCTCATACACATTTAAAATGTCCCTTTAAGGGTAAAGTTTCCAACTTTACCTGTTAATAGCCTTGGTTGATGGGTTTGGCTCAAACCCTAACTCTCTAGAACTTAGATCTTGGTCCACAAGTCATCCATACTCCAACTAAAGCATATAAACAGAGATCTAGGACTTAGACATCATTTGAACACGTAAAGCTTCTGCCTTTTCCTCCATACATGGCCTTTTGGGGCTAAAAGGCCAATATGACATATTAGAGTTTGCATGGGGGCTCCAATAGCATAAAGTTTGCACCTTTATGCCATAACAACCCTTAATGATTCCAGATATGAAGGTATCCTCACTTGGGACGTCCATATCCCAAGGATCAAGCTTCTTGGACCAAAAACCCAATAAAGAGAAAATAAGGAGATCTAAGAAACTGTTAGGCAAGTTAGAGACTTGATTACCATAAAATGATGAGGATGGAAGGAAGTCTCCGGATCTACTATCTTCTCCCTGAATCTACTAGCTTCTTTTTCTTCCACAAGCTTCAAGACACACAAAGATCACTTATAAATGGCTTACAAGCTCACAAATGCATTAGGTTTTCTGAAACTAGGGTTGGGAACTTGGAGGCTGGAAATGAGGCCAGCAAGTGGGGATTAGGATGCTTAAATAGGGTGCAAAACCCTAAAATCAGGGTTTCATCTTGCCAGCCCTACTCGTCGATTCAAGGCTTCCAACTCGTCGAGTACGTGACTTAAAATCCCACGACCATTTTGGTTTATACTCGATGAGTTTGGGGATCCCAATTCGTCGAGTAGCTCTACAAAAGTGAATAAATTATAATTAATTATTAGAAAAACAGCCTTTTACGATGCTTATTGCGCATCGTAAAAGGCTCAAACGATGCGCAAATGCACGTCAAGGAAGGCCCTGTCATAAAGAGAGACGGCGCGCTTTTGTGCGTCATCTATAGACGACGCTCATTTACGAAGCACAATTACGATGCGTGTTTACGACACACAATACGTATCAAGGAAGGCCTTGTCATAAAGTAAGACGACACGCATTCGCGTGTCGTAACCTTAAGACGCGCGTGATTAAAACCCCTGTCAAAAAAGGTGATGTCATAAATGAAGATGACACACATTTTTGCGTATCGTAAATTTAAATGTTTAGAAATATATTTATATATTTATTAATTTTTAAATTAAATTTGCATTTACTGTCTCATAATAAAAATAAAATACTATATAAAAAATACAATCCATTGCAAAAAATTTAACGTCATACAATTTTATTTCTTACAATATATAAATTTGCATTCATCTAATCTACTCTGTGTTTCATACTAACAATTGAAATGAAGAATGCAACACTTGCATTTGCAACATCTTATCTCTTTCATCTTGAGCTTTCTTTTCCTCTTCTAACTCCAAAGCTAATACTATTCGCTTTCATCAACCCTGTAAACACAACACAAAATCACTTGTCATTTTCATTAAACTTTTAAAATTAATTCTTATTAGGATATTCTACTTTTAAACCTACCTATCTAGCAAAATTTTCAAAGAATATAATTTATATTTTTTTTATGGAAAGTACATTGCTATTTCTTGAATACAAGATGTTACAAATCAAGAAACTTACATGGACTGTTGACCACCATGAACCTGCAAGACACGAGACATCAAATAAATCAAAATTAAATTTGATTTTTTTTTTTTTCCTTTCAGTAACGGTTAACATTTAACAAAAAAAAACAAAAGGCCAACCCACTCCCTTTGCCTCATTCCAGCTAACCCACTCCTTGGAAACAAGAAAAAAATAAAAAAAATATCAACCAACATTTTACTTATATTTGAGAGGTTTTCATATTGATTTATTTATTTGTTAATAAATAGTTTACATACTACACCTATGGTATGGATTTAGTATTCATGGGAGGATTTACTATAAAGGAAAATGTTGAGGGTAAATTGTTCATTTCAATATTGGATGTACCGATACCTTTCTATGGGTGATTGCTAGCCACTCTTCATTTCAATATGGACCGAGACCCGATTCAACTTCAATAATCTGTTGAAATCAGAATTGGAAAACAAAAATCTTTTAAAAAAGCCAACGAATAGTCAACAAGCAAGAAACTTAGTGACTTGACCTCCATCTGGATGTTGAAATAAAGCAGCAAATTTGCAATGTAAATAAGCAGAAAACCCTAGAAAGAATTTTAGTATAATGTTACAATAAACAAAATAAAGAAAGTAAATTGCTATTTTGAACATGTGAAGCATTATAACAACCTGCTCTGTGACAATTCCTTTGACCTGTCTACCAAGAATTGCACGTGACTTGATGCCTCTTTCAGATTGTGGTGCTTTGTCATCAGCAGCCTCCTGACCCAAATAAAAATTATATAAAAAAAATGGAAGTCAGAAAGATGGCATCAACGAGTGAGGTTTTATTATGTTATGAAAAAATGGAAGTTAGAAAAAACAGTAAGCATGGTGACATATTTAACATAAAATGTTAATTTAGTGACTTAATAGGAAATGAAAATAGTTTTTTAACCAAATTAATGAAAATGAGACATTTGGTTGCTATACTACCAGTCAAGTAATCCAAGATAAAAAGAGTTAACATCAATTTCACCTAGCAGCCTTGGCAACCAGGTGAAATTGATCGTTAAATATTCCTAGAGAATAGAAGTAGCTTTCTCAATTTCTTATAGCGTGACCCTGATTCACCTTCAAGATTAAGGTCATCACCTGTGAAATTGATCATTAAACATTAGACATCGCTTGAATTATAAACTGAACCATTAACAATTTAATATGATCCAAACTATGCATGAAGTATCATGTGACTTGTGTTCAACCAAACCATTAATCAATCAATACATGACACTCTACAAGCACCATAAAATATAGAATTCAGGTGCATGCCGAGTGTCGACATTTAATCATTCATATGAGCTGGAAAATAATAATAATAAAATTGTGCATGAAGTTTCCATATCCACACTCAGAAAGGAAAAAAGCAAAAAAATAATAACAAACTTATCTCCTTAAATGGGTATTTCTATACATACTACACTTTTCTTTCATTTGTTTGACTGCATCAGCCAAATCATGACTCTGAAGTTCATGAGAATCTTGAAATTTTAGAAACTCATATCCTCCATGTCCTGTCATATATAACAAGAGAAAGAATCTTGAAATTTCATGGCAGCCTGTTAAAACTCTTTAAAAGTTCTCAACTGTCACTTCATAACCTCGATAGTCTACCTGACATAGCAGTGAACTAAAATCAACACATCTTCTCTAAAAACAGTATGTAAATAAGCAAAGGGCTGTAAATTAATTGGACACCAAAGTTGACCTCAACATTATCTCCATACAAGTTAAGCCTATGATTTTCATTGTTGAAACTTGTGCAGGGTATTTGTTTCGGGAATTACAAGCCATGTCATCCACAAACATAAGAATGATCCTCTCATCAGGTATCCCTAGTCGTTTCACAGTCCTATACAAGAAGATTAAGAGAAAGAATGACAGAGAAATGTCAATAACTGAAACATGATTGATATATAGTTATAAAATAACTGAAAAAAGACAAAACAAACCTGATCTTGAGTGAGATTAAGTAACGCAAGTCTATTGGAACCCTCCTTGCTGGATTTGTGTCCTTAAGAATGACAAAGAAACTGATGGAAAGCAATCAACATCATTGATGCGTGGATGGAAGTAAAAAAGGCAAACATTGTTCATTGAATAACTAATTTGCCACCTATAAAATCAGGAAAAAAAAAAATAATAAGATTTAAGAATTAGGTATTATTTTATTATCTAAAAGTAAAACACAAAGATGTTATATAAAATACCTGGCTAAAAGGGTAGAGTTTTTTCGCTTCCAGAATTGAAAAAATAAACTGCCCATGAAATTATGCATATAAAGAAAAAGAGAAATTAAATATCTTCCTACCATTTGTTCCTACTTTTCCTCCTACCATATCAAATGTTGACATGTATCACATTTAATTAGACATTTAATGAAATTAATAATCATTTAATCCAACTATCAACATTTGATATGGTAGGAGGAAAAGTAGGAACAAATGGTAGGAGGATATTTAATTTCTCAAAGAAAAAGGGAAGCAGAAAAAGGGAAGCACAAATAACTGCAATGATCTGAAAGAAAAATACAAAATAAGAAAATATAGAATTATTAAAGATTCAGATGAATGTGTTAAGCCAAAGAAATTTGTTTTTTGGGGAATGTAAGGGTAAAATGGTCTTTTGGTCTCGTTCAGACGATTTATGCAGTCACTATAGAGAAAAAAAACCACAAAAGAAAGTGACATACCCAAAATCAACCAATTGCAATATATGGTCTTTTGGTCTCGTTCAGACAATTTATTTTATTTTTGAATAGACAAAAAAGCATATGGACACAAACCTCAAAATCAGCTCCCATACTCTTAATGTTAAAAGTTTGAATTTCATTATGTTTAGCCGTTATAACTTTTCCACTGTTATCCATACTAGGCTCTTCCCTTACCAACTTTCACCATTATAGTCCCTTCATCATACCCAATAGCAATACTGTACAAAAGGGAAAGGGTACAAGTATCATAAACAAGCATAAATGTCTGGCTGTACACAAATGTTACACATCAGCAAAACTGATTGGAGAAATTTGATGTAAAAAGATTAAATTCATGCAACCAAAACCTGATGTTGATGACCAAAAGCAATGGGTAGCTGCAGGGTAGTCCCCAGATGTGAATTTTGGTGAGTCTTGCATGGTTGACACATAGAAGGTCCAACTCCTTTTCTACTTGTAGCTGTAACCTGAAAATATGACATTAATATTTAACAATCCTTTATCTAGGTTTAACTTTCATAACAGATTATACATTTTATTAACCTGTAGAGCACTGTTGAGTGCAGTTGAACCATACACATAAGTATATTGACCACCATAATGAGTTCCAGCAGATGAATGACCACCTAACAAGGTTGAATGACGTGAAGCCATAGGCATCTGAGAGATAGCATCAACTCCCAGCTTCATAGAATATACAATGAGTCAGAAAGCATGGTTGACCATATTCATCTTCTGTCACATTATACAAGTTACATCTGCATCACCAAATCCAAAAAAAAAAACTCATCAAAATCTTTTAAAGATAAGTAAATGGGTTGTTTCTTTTGAAATACATGACATATATATATATATACCTACATTCATGTATTTTAGCTTATGTTAGGATTGATTAGATAAAGTACCTATAATGTTGTAAAGATAAAGGAGTTATTTGTTAGACAAAACAGAAAACAAAAAAAAAAAAAGTCAATTAAAGACTAAAATACCCCTGGGACCATTTTCTGTCGAACACAAGCCTTTTTAAAATCCCTTTCCTTTCAGATTAATTAATCATGAAATCCAATCATTACACATTCAAACATGAGTCTCGTTAAAGTCGCCACTTTCACTCAACATCTGTTCTTAGTCACATGCTTTCTGGCACGTTTATATGATCTGAATGCATCAAAATATTACACATTCATGGTTTTGAGTTTATTGCTGTTGCAGGATATTTAAGTTTATATGATATGAATGCATCAAAATATGGGAATGAAGAACAACTGAAATCTTTGATCAAAGCTTTAAACAACAAGGGAATCAAATCCGTTGCAGACATAGTTATAAATCACAGAACAGGGGAAAAGCAAGATGGAAGCGGGAAATACTATATCTTCGAGGGTGGAACTCCAGATAAACGCCTTGATTGGGGATCTTCCTTTATTTGCAAAGACGACGACTATTGCGTTGGCAATGGAAATCTCGACACAGGAGGTCCCATTACAGGTTCCCTGACATCGATCACCTAAACCCTATAGTCCAAAAGGAGTTATCTGATTGGATGAACTGGCTCAAGATTGAAATAGGGTTTGATGGGTGGCAATTTGATTACGTAAAAGGGTATTCCTCGAGTTTCACCAAGATCTACATGACCAACATCGCTCTCGATTTTGCAGTTGGGGAGCTATAGAGCTCGTTAGCTCATGGGCAAGATGGAAAACCAGATTACAATCAAGATAACCATAAAAATGAACTTATGAAGTGGGTGGAAGAAGGTCATACAACAAAATTGGAATCAAAGGAAAGGGGGGAGAGAACGAACTAGGGGAGAGAGAACGAACTAGGGTTACCTGAAAACGATACTTCAGGCGATCCAGAAGTTAGGGCCGACGCTGCTAACGGTGGCGGAGCAAGACGTGAACCACAACGGGCCGTTTTTTCTTGGGCGATTTCTTGAATCGTTACATTATTATTCGACGATATTTGATTCATTAGAAGCAAGAATGGCGGTCGTCTTTCATTGGAAGTCGACGGCGGTGGGAGACACTCAGAAGGGTCGAAGAAGCAGCAGATGGTGGAAGGTGCAATGGATGTTTGAGAATCGAGAGAGAAGAAAGAAAGAAAGGGGGTTTTCGGAGGGGATGAGCTAGGGTTTTCAGTCGGTGGAAACGAAGCGGGCTTTTTAATTTTTAGATTTCGTTTCCCCTCGGATGAAACGCGCCTTTCATTAAAATTTATAAAGCGACATGAGACGATGCACATTTTATTTAAGGCGCCCTCCGTGTTTTTTTATTAGACACTAATTTTAGGGCACGCTCAAATGCGTGTCCTCTATCAGCGCGTGTCATTGATTGCACGTCGTAAAATGCTGCTTTTCTAGTAGTGTAATTGCGTACTAGGAACCAGACATTATAGTGTTAGAAGCAGCTCAAACACATTGGTCAACAAATCTACGCATATCAACCGTTTCCTTCAGAGGATCTAAGGAATCATCTTAGGCCATCAACTCTTTATGCAACGGCTTGTTTCCAAACTTGAGTTTGTCAACCATGTCTAGTCTTTTGAGGGCCCACGAGGATTGAATTTAAGCCCCTACAACTCTTTAAGATCTACCTGAAGATGTTCGCATAAATGTGGCATGAAAATAACCCAAAATGGCCAACCAATTTGGATTCACCCGAATTTGGACCTGTTTAAATGTGTTAGGGTAGTGGCGCTCAATAGCCTCTGGTAGGTCTTTCGCCTCTTGTCCCACATCATTCCCTCTCCACATGAACTCTACATAGTTCTATGAGAATCCTCGAGTGTCCTCTTCTTAGCCAAGTTCGTTCGCATTAATGTATTAGGATCTTCATTCTTAGATACTCTTAGAAACAACAATGGTTTATTGAGCATCAAAAATGTTTATTGGAGACTTACACTGATATGCAAAAAGCTCTACAACATTTAATTAAATGCACAGAGGGGAAAAAGTTCTTGAATGTTATGAGGTTAGAGGAAATTGGTTGGGTTAGATCATGTAGATCCTTTATTTTTGGTGCTTTTTATATTTTAGTAGTGTCCACACAAACATGAGAGAGGCATGGATGACATTGCCAAAGATATTATTCCTCAGGGGTATCAAGAGGATTCCATGTCGATGACTACAACTTTAGGGAAAATTGTTTGGTTTTTTGCAACCATAGATTGTTTTTTTTTTTTATTTTTTTTTTTATTTTTTATTTTTTTTATTTTTTATTTTTATGTTGGGACATGGTAATACACATTGTTTGGGTTTTTTCTTATGTTGGTAGCATGTGTTAAAAACATTATATGGTTTGTGCCATAGTTGGAAACATTATACGTTTAATGTTTATGTTTTCAAGTTTTAATTATGATAAAGAGAAAAAAAAAAAAAAAAAAAAAAAAGGAACATATCTAAATGAGTTGTAATAATAATTTTTTACATTTCTGCCGTTTGTTTTTCCATTTTGACTATTCTAATATTTTAGTGGATTTATTGTTATAAGCCTTAATTTGTAAAATCTACACAAAATTAACGAACGGGACGGAAGTTCATATAATCATAAAAAAACAAGTTTTTTCTAAAAAAATTATTACTTGGAAACATTGACCATCTCAAATTCAAAAAAGAATAACGAAATTAAAGCACACTATAGTCAATTAATTAAACATGATTAGTTTCTTATATCATCAGACAGACTAAAAACGAAATCATCCATTTTGATAAATAGAACTAAAGGGCAATATATACCTCCTCCTCTCTTCTGTTTTATGCTTTTAGATTATCTGGTACTTGGTGATGAAAGAACCACGCATCCATCATCAACGTTAATGTGGATGTCTAGCTCTTTCATGGCTCCATTTTTCAAATCATAATAGCACATACCCTTATTATTGCTTTTACATTCCAGGATGATATATCTAGATCTTTTACTCATTACGCCACAGAGGGGAAATCTGTTGTAGCACCATCTGTCGAGAATACTAACTGACAATCTACTGTAGTACGACATCTTGAGAGTAATTGATTGCAACTTCTCCCACTTCTTCCTCTCAAAATCTTTAAGAATCCATATATCAGCTTTGTCCCTACTATTTTCAACAAAGAAAGCCAGGTAACCACCCATCTCAAAAATAGTATACACAAATCCGAATCCCTTATCATAATTGGGTACACTCATATCAACAATCTCCTCTTTCACCATATCCATGGAAACAAGGCTATTATCAATGCAATTATCCCAGTGAATGTACCTACCCTGAACTGAAACCAGGTTAGAAGAATAAAACGACCCTCCATTCATGCATGGAACATGGATCTTTTTCCACTTTGATGAAACAATATCTCTTCCCAAGATAAGAATATGACATTCGATAGGTGGTCCCATAAACAAGTGAACCACTTTGTACATTCCCTTGAAAAGATTGAAAGAAAGTGCAACTCCACATTTGATCGTACAATAACCTCCACATGATGCAATATTACGTTCGGGAAGATATGATCCTTCCTTGGTGATTAGATTATAAACATACAGAGATTGTTTTTTATAATCTGATATTAGAAGAAACTCGTTAACCCAAGATCTTATAATGCCTATGGGAGGTGTGTCAAGATCCTGCACTTTCATGACGTGTATCCCTTGTTCTTCTTCTCGTATACCCACATAACGTGCTGTTAAGTTTCCCGTCTTCTGGAGGATAATAAAAGAAGTATCGTGTAGCAAGATTCTGTTAGTCATTATATTAAACCATCGTCTACACACATACTTAGCCAAATAACGAGGGAAATCATCAGGGAGCCTTTTAAGGATATCTAAAAGGATGTCATCTGGAAGAAACATAAACAGGTCAACCTTCTTTCTCTTTCTTTTCATCGGCAATTCTGATTCTTTCCTGGAGATGCTCATTCCCATCTCCATAGAATTCTGTTTCAAAATAGAAATAACTATATGCTAAAAGAAATACAAGTTTTTAATGTACGTTAAAATTACTAGCTAGATAGATCTTTTGGAAGGACCAAAACAAAGTCTATCTGATCTAAAATGGATTGAAAAGAAAGAGTTGCCGCTTTAATTTGTTCAAAACAGACAGAGCACATGAAGCACAAATTGTGTAATGCTTAATTAGCGGAGTTCTAGCTAACTGTTGTAAACTAGAAGTTGTATATATGAATATAAAATCTATAATTACTTAGCCACACAATCCATCGATCGGATTGTAGAAAAGGTTTGGCGCATATACTGTAAGGCTAGATACGTAACGAATTGAACTTGCAGACTGTAAATTGTGATTTGATCAACAGATATTTGCGTCGAATTGCATGCACATAAGAAGCCACATTGACGAAATTGGCACGAGTAGGTGATGAGAGAAAACCTGTGTGAGGAGATCGATGATAATATGTAGAAAATGGGGGGTTTTCTAGGGTTTAATCTAGCAGAAACGCGAAGCAACCGTAGTCCGTAGATGTGGTGTTTTTCCAAATCTTTTACTAACGAGAATCGAAGTCTGCAATCTACTATGCTAACATTATTTTTTTGGGGGATCTTTTATTTAATAGAAATATACTATGACAAATATTTTCAAATAAATAGAGATTTTTTAAGATTCTTCTTAATTAATATATTTATTAGCATGATTTTAAAAGTTTATAAAATCCCCATCAGAATTATCATTTTTTTTTTATGTATTTATGCTTTTTGTAATATATTACTTAAATTTAACATCTAATTAAATGAAAAGGAATGAGATATATGTAAAACATATTAAACTTAACAATTTTTTATTTTTATATCATTCATCGTTTAATGAAAATTTTTGTTTGTTAACTTGTAATTATATGTTAATCATACAACTTGTTACAATTAATGTAGCTTCCTTTCATGATGCTTTAGATTATGAAAAATAGAAAAAAAAATTAATAAATCAAAATATTCAAAAATTAAGAAAACATAAGGAAAAGGAAATAATAATAATAATAATAATAATAATAATAATAATAATAATAATAATGAGATGTCCATCTATAGCTAATGTTTTGATGGAGTTGAGTGATATCTATCTATAGCTAAGGTTTTGGGTCATGATATGTCCGGAACAAAAAGTGAGATGAAGAAACTCACAGTTTGGGTGTGAAGGATGTGGATCAATGAATGTCCTTTCATTTAACATGTGTGTAGCTAAGGTTTTGGGTCATGATATGTACGAGACAAAAAGTGAGATGAAGAAACTCTTAGATAGTTTGGGTGCAAATGATGTGGATCAATGAATGTCCTTTCATTTAACATTTGCGGAATTGGAACGTAAGGAAAAAGATAAAAATTAATAATCGTTGTAATAAACTTAAGATTAATTTTTTGGGAATTCAAGAGTCATTTGCAACTAGTGTGGATATTTTTAAAGTACGTGCAATCTGGGGAAATAACCATGTTGATTTTGCTTCGAGTTCTGCTAGAGGTCATTCCGATAATCAGTACGGTGGTGAGCTCGGAACAAACTACCTTTATTAAAGGTAGATAGATATTAGACGGGCCGTTGATTGTAAATGAGGTTGTAGATTCTTGTAAGTGGAAGAAGAAGAAGTTAATGATGTTTAAAGTTGATCTTGAGAAACCATATGACTCACTTTCTTGGGATTTTCTTTACAAGACAATGACTTTGATGGGTTTCTCCGAAAACTGGTGTAATCTCATACGAGCATGTTTTCAAAATGCTCGGTCTTTTGTTTTACTGAATGGTAGTCTTACGGAAGAGTTTTTTCTAAGGAGGGGTTTAAGACTAGGTGATCTGTGTCTCCATTCATTCCAGCAAATGAGAGTTTTCATGTTGCAATAGAAGATGTGGTTCAGGGTTGTATCGTGGAATGGTGATTGGTGATGGAGGGTTACATTTGTACCATTTATTTTAGGTTGAAGACGCTGTTTTTTTGGTGAATGGAACCGGGAAAATATTCTCAACTTGATTGCTATCCTCGGGTGCTTCTATTTGGTTTATGGTCTCAAGGTAAACATGCAAAAATCAAATTTATTTGGTATTAATATTTCATTCCCGTTGGTAGAAAAGTTTGCGGTTTTAACAAGTTGTAAGGCCACCAAACTCCCATTTTTTTTTATCTTGGCCTTCAAATAGGTGGGATTATGTGAAGATCATTGGGATGGAAGAATATTTTTGACAAGTTCCAAAAGAAGTTTGTGTCATGGTAATTAAAACTCATGTCGATTGGGGGTCGGGCCGTGTTATTGAAGTTAGTTCTAGATTCTCTTGGCATTTATTATATGTTAGTGTTTCATATGCCAGGAGGTGTACACAAGTTCTTAGAGAAGTTGAGAGATTCTTTTTTCTGGGGAGAAGAAGAAGGTGATCGAAAATTACATTGGATCAGATGGGAATCTATTTTGGCGAATAAAAAAGGAGGACTTGACATTTGATCTTTAGATGCGATTAATAGAGCTTTATTTTATAAATGGAAGTTGCGGTTTTTCAATAATACAAATGATCTTTGATGCAAGGTGATAAAGATGTTTCATGGTCGTGATGGGGGAGGGGGGGTGGATGGAGTGATGAAAGTTCGGTTTTAAAAAGGTGATAAAGATGTTTCGTGGTCGTGATGGGGGGTTTGGATAGAGTGATGAAAGTTTGGTTTAAAAAAAGGGTGTGGGTAAAGATAATTTGTACAATTAACCAACTACATGATTCTTGTATTATTCAAAATAATAATATTCAAAAGGTGATTGGTGGTGGGGCTTCCACTTTGTTTTGGAAGGATCAGTGGATTGGCGAGAATACTTTGATGGTTCAGTTTCCTAGATTGTTTATTATGGAGACGGATAAAGATTGTATGATTAGTCAACGTTGGAATGGAGCTACATTTATATTGGCTTGGAGTAGGCCGATTACATCAAGTACTCTATTCGCTCATGTATAACAATTGGAGGAAGTACTTTAAACAGTTAATATATCCACATCGCATGTACTTGATTGTACTCTATTTGCGAATGTACAACAGCTGGAGGAAGTACTTCAAGCAGTTAATATATCCACATTGCATGACAGATGGGTATGGAAGTTAGTTGGAGATATTGAATTTACTGTTTCGAAAGTTTGAAAATGCATTGATGATAATATTCTTCCGAATGGTGTGGTGTCTACAAGGTGGAGTATATATCTGCCTAGAAAAGTGAATATTTTTACTGGCGAACAAGACTAAACAGGCTACCAACACAAATAAATCAGATAACAAAGGTATTGACATACCTTCCATTGTTTCTGGTATATGTAACGAAGACATAGAGGAGATTTCACATCTTTTTATCTCTTGCAAAGTAGCTGTCGAATTATGGCGATATTTTGTAAAATGGTGTGGTGTTAATGTCCTTGGTTTTAGTCAAATTAAAGATGCAACTCAATGATGGATTCGATGCAAATATCCAAGACAAAACAAATGGTGTTAGAATCAATTGTTATGGTAAGTGGTGGCTCCTATGGAATTTTAGGAATGACGTTCTTTTTAGTGATCAAAATACGAGAAAGAATTTGTTGGTTGATAGATTAACCGGCTATTCATATAATTGATTGTTACTAGGAATAGGAAGTTTAGTATAAGTCGAGTAGCATGGCTTATAAATCCAATTTTATCTATTCCATTGTAATTATTTTTTAGCATATTGCTAACTTTCTCAATAAAAATTCATTGGTTCGAAGAAAAAAAGTAATTACAACATCAGAGAAGGAGGAAATACATAAAATAAGTAAAATATAATGAACAAGTCTCACAATTTTCTTTAAAGGCTGAATCTAGTACTCAATCTATCATAATACATGAATGACATTGATCTTATTAATGACTCTTATAGACTTAGCAATATCTTTGAAGAATGTCAAGCTATCGAAGACATTGAAGATATTTGCAGTGTTCTTCTTCTATAAGAAGGACTCAGATTGCAACGTTCTAAACGTTAAGACAAAAAAATTTGTTTTAATAATAATAATAATAATAATAATAATAATAATAATAATAATTATTATTATTATTATTATTATTATTATTATTATTAAAATAAAACCATCATCCAAACATTTTCATAAAACCATACTGAAATCAGAGTATGTGAAATATCATCAAAATACATCAAGTCAACAAAATACGGAACAATATGGTGTGTACGATGCGATCATCCCGAGCTCTTCCCCTTCGATCCGGAAGTACCTGAAACATAAAATGAAAACCGTAAGCACAAAGCTTAGTGTATTTCATAAAATACATCATACCATACATATCAAACATACAATGAGCCATACCAAAAACCATCGGGCCCCGCCCGTCATTGAGCCCCATTCGGAACAGATCTTTTAGTAACTTGAGAAGGGCTCCGCCCATCACATTCATCAGGGCCCGATAACACATGCAAAAATCACTAAGATAAATAGCATATAATACACCCATCAGGTCTCGCCTGGCATCGGACCCCACACGGCATACATATCACATACTACACATGCAAGAGTCACATAGACAACAACATCCTAATCATATTAACCATGGGTCGACATTAGTGCCTTCGACCTACCAAAGCACAATGAGGAGACTCACCTCAAACTATTGAAAATCGGATAAATGATAGGACTGCTAATCCAGAAAATCCTCGTGCTAATCAATCACATGAAACCCCAATTAATTTTTGGGCCATAAACCATAAATAGGAATCTAGTTCATTTGACCAATACTCAGGGTAAAAGACAATTTTACCGTTTCCTCACTTGTCCCAATATCCGAGGCCCAACTCAATGGCACCTACAAGTCCAATACAACCCAAGTCCCTAAATGATACCCAAAGCCCATCATGGGCCTAAAGTACATAAATGATCTAATACCATAGAAGTTTAAAGTCCAAGTCTCAACAAAACTAAGCCCAACTAAGAC